CACACACACACACACAAAAGGGAGGTTAGAGGCGTAAACAGATTTCAACTGTTGTTCGCTGAAGACAGTATGTGCTTGCAATTAAATTTATTGACTTTTGGATGTGCTCCAAGACCTGAGCTGGGTGACAGCTGGGGGCAAACATACCTGGGGGCAAAGACTTTCCAGTTGAGATGCAGCCATACGGACCAGCTTTACCCCTTCCTCATTGTTGGAAATGGAGCATGCCAGATTTGCCACCTACAATGAACAAAAAACAAAATTGTTAACCAAAGGCCAAAATCTCACAAAAAAAACGTGTGATTAAAAAAACAAAAGAAAGAAAAAACCTGCCACTGCTGTGTCCATTGATTCTTGATAATTACTTAAGGTGTGTGAGGTCGCTAAAACTACTCATATGCAAACTAGTATAAATGTTTGTTTTCAGTACAAAGCTTTGTATCACGCTTGGCTGAGGTGCTGGAGTTATAAATTATTCAAATAAAAAGGAAAGGAAGAAAACCACAGTCAAAACTAAATTGTTCATATTCAGGGGTGGTCTTTTTTTGTTTATTTTAGTTTTGTTTGTGACCCTCAATCAATATGACATTTGTTAAGACAATTTCAGTTTGTTTTAATATACTTTCAGCACATTTTCACAGCAAGTAACAAAACCGATAGCTGTGATAAATATTGATATTTGTGATAAGAAAATAATCACAATATGAAAATTTTAAACACTTAATTGCTAGTGTCTGTCTTTGCATTGCTTGAAATGGTCCATCTAACTCACAGGAACCAGTGTTGGCTCAAGCAGAGTGGGTGTTAGCAACCCAAATCATTTATCCATTTTGTTACCATTCCTCTCGCCACAAATCTCAGATGCTGCGAGCCTGTTCTGAATAAAGGCAGCACTTTGAACGGGGCACTGCACTAATTTTGAGAAAAAACAGAAACAAACGCCATACATACTGTAGATACATAATTAAACTTGGATAAGTTCATTATGGTAGCCTGGTTTAGGGATTCTTCCGTCAGAAATGGAGCAGCTCTGCAATACAACTAATCCCTGTGGAATACAAACCCACTGCAGTGGATTAATTTATAAAGCTGCTAAAAATGATACAATATGATGACACAGAGGGAGAAACCAAAAAAGTAGGAGGAAAAACAAAAGCCCAGCTGTTGGGAAAGTTATGTATTCAATTCCCAGAATAAAAGTAAATTTCACCAAATGGAAATCTAAGTTGTAGCTGGTTAACTCAAGGATATTGTTATTCTCAGTGACTGAATCACAAGACTGCCAGATTGCCATTACGCTCCTGGAGAGGCAAATATTAATGACACTTTCAAAAAGTGAGCAGTAGAGTGAGAACAGGAGTGCTAAACTAAGCAAATCTTGCCTGCAGCTGTCAACATCAGTAATTTTTTCTGTGTTGACTAAAATAAAGCTCTCCTACAATTATCTCTAAATAGTCTTTCATACTCAAGTTTTACATTAGACATCTACTAAATTTAGGTCAAAGGCTTTGAAGATTCCCATTTTGGTTGGCATATGCTGGCAGCAATACTGTAACAGAATGCCTGGGATGTGAGGAACTGCGCCAAAATGGGATTATTCAACAGACAGAAAATGTGCTGAAACATAATCAATTACAAAGGACTAAACCAACTCATGACAGCAAAAGCGCAAGGACAAGGAGTCCAACAGCTTTGCTCTTATTTTTGTATTCCCACACATAAATCTGTTAAAGTTTGGTCACAAATTTACTACTTTACTGACATCTGGGTTACAAAGCGCAACAAAACTGTCAGCCAAGATGACACACTGGATTTTAAAACGTACATTAATAATAGGTCTGATTGGATCAAAAGCATGAGGTTAGAAAAGGAATGAAGAAAAAAAAAAAGCTCAGCTTAGGCATTCAATTTATCTTTGTCCTTTAATCAACTTCTATTCAAAAACAGGTTTCTGTGATGATATTCGTCTTCCTCTGATACCATTAACAGACAGGGAAATAATACTTATTAGAAAATAATACTTATTAGAAAAAACAAACAAAAACAAAAAACATCTTATTTGATGGGCTGGTGGTGGTGCATCACTGGCTGCCCAAGTATTGCATTGAGGAGGCCCTTTTAAACCTTAAAATGTCTGAGTAATTTGCTGATGGGAAGCACTTTCTTCACTGTGTAGCTAAAGCACTGAAACATTGATATAAACATATCCTACATCGCTATTCAAACATACTGGAACCAGAGGGAGAACATTTAGTAATCCATGAGGACGAATGAAGAGTGGTTACATGAAGAAAAACTGGAAAGACCTGTGTTTTTACTTGCACAATCTTTCACATAAGCTTTTAATGACGCCCCCTGTGAACCACTGGGAAAGGAGATGTTTCTGCATAGAGAGATGCCATTCCACTTGCAACACTGTACCATACCATTTAAAGTATCAGGGGAGCCCGACTTTACAGTCTATGCAAACAATTACAAAAGTGCACCTGTTTTCTTACCTTCCTGTCCCACAGAGCTATTCCTTAATACACAACCCCTTGTTAAAGAAGTACTCTGTCATCAACAATAAGTACAAACCCAACTCCAAGAAGCTGAGACAATGTGTAAAATGTAAAAGTTAAAAAAAAAAAAAAAAGCAATGATTTACAGATCTCAAACCCATATTTCTCACAGTGAACATACCAAACATATGTTAAAGCTGAGACACTGGGGTTGCATTTATTTGAAATAACTATGGCCCTGTAACAGTTATCCCAGTCAAGCAGTTGCACTAAGGACAGATAATCCAACAAACTACAAGCTTATGCTAATATCATGGATAATATATTTACCATAAAATATCTTAATCACTGCAGTGGTTTAGTATCAGTGCTATTGAGCCAAGTATACAACTGCAGTGTGACCGTCCATACATCAAGCTTAAAAAAATTAAAAATGAAAGTTATCCATTAGACCTGAACATCAATAAGGTATTCAGACACCAAATCTTTTTAAAATGAAAGGGTGTACAACTGGTCATTCACATGTCAATGACATAATACCACTGACAGTAAGATTAAATACACTGATTAACTCCATGCACTCATGGAAAAGCTGATTACCAAGAGTTGTTTTACTGACATGAGGGAACACAATATTTAGTGACTGGTTTTAGAGTTATGGATAATGGGTGCAAGTTTGTTTGTTTTTTTAAAACATTTAAAAAAAAAAAAAAAGCAAGCTTTAGGGCAATGCTTAATTTTTTTTTCTTAAACAAAAGAAATCCTTAGGTGGGGTTTACCAGTAAATTCACTTTCCACTGCTGATTATACCATCAGTAATGCACATCTCTGCATCTCGACCTGCTATGTAGCACATCTTTATGACTTATAATGGCTTCACACTCCAAAGCTTATATTTCAGAACTGAGTGTGCACTCAAAAACAAACAACTTATCTAAATGAGGTAAATAAGTAACCCTCTGCATAATGTGACAACCATCGCTTTGCCTGGATGAGAGCCTTACACAGCTTGGTGCATGCCAAATTGAATGCAGTTTTTTTGTATCCCCCTCATTCTCTAAATATGGGTCAGTCATAATGTAGCTTTCATAAAAATGTGTGTAATGTAATAGGCCATTTGCCTTACGGCAGACTACAATTGCGCAACCTGCGATGTCATACAAAACACAGCCAGAGACTGGTTGCTCTTTGCTATTCCTGCTACTGAACAGAGGACATCCTGTATTTAAAGCATTTTTGTTCAATATGTTATAAAGAAACAAACATGTTTCAACTTCTCTCTCTAGTCTTTCCAGCTCTATTGATTTGCATATATATTGTTTGGCAAAGGCTCTAATCTAGAGCGGCCCACAGCACAGTTCAATACCTACTTCCTACCATGCATTTGAAGGTAAATGTCAACCATTTTTATTTAAAGGTGAAAGCCAAGAGTTCCACTGTGAACTGCTTACTGTTCAGCCGATTGTATTGATGTTGGCTTACAGGAATAATTTTCCTGAGAAGTGAGATAATACTTGACTGTGTGCTTTTGCCAATCATATTAACCAGGGATTGGATACATTAAAATTTTTTTTAAAAGGTTAATGTAAAAATGACAAAATGCAATGCTGGCAGCTTCTAAAGAGGCAGAAATCTTTAGCCAAAATGAAAAGTAATGTATGCCACTTCTGTCGAAGCTGTTGCAAAACATGATTTAACATGATTTATAATTCCCAGGTCCTAGTTAGCTCTCTCTAGGTTTGAAGGCATACATCAGCTTAGGTTGTGAACGCTTGTGTTGCAGCAGTTGATGTTTGTCGTTTTTTGGAAGGAACACACTAAAGAAAGTATGTGGAGGATAAACTGCTAGATTACACTGAGTATCTCCTAATGTAAATTTTGAAATTTTAAAATGGAAATTTATGGCAACTGGCTCCCTTTTAGAAAATGCCTAATCAGCAAGAAAGTTACTTTGCCCAGTGCTTAAAACTCTACCATAATGATGCCCATCAACGCAGTGCCAAGATGCTGTTCAGTGGCTTTACTAAACAACTAGCATTCCTAATTTATGTACGACAAAAACATCTTTTGCTGATAAATATTTCAGTACAACTAGACTGATGTAGGAGCTCAGTTCCACTGCAGATATGGAGGCTATCATGACTAACTCTAGTTAGTCACGATAGCAACAATTACCACAACGAGCCCCAGCTTTAAATAGACAGTATTTGGAGTTTACATTCTTTAAACATCATTTGTACGGTTTTTCTTTTGTGCTGCTGATAAGCGGTTTTTACAGATGCACCTTCTATTCTTAAGTGGATATCATACAACATGTATATTCAAATGAAAATGAAAACTAAGCAAAAATTACTAAAAGAAATTTCTCCATAAAGTTCATAAACACATTTAAACCAAAACTACTTTGGTTTAAATTTAATTTTTTTTTTTAAATTACACTCCCCCCCCCCTTGTGTTTCTAAGTGTTTCAAGCACAAATGGTAACCATGCATTAGCAAGGTCTAGCAATGTCATGCTGTAATGCCACATCTGACACTCAGGCCTTCAGGTGCTACTTAAGGGGCTACTCCCCAGTGTTGTTGCCCACTCCCCCTTTCCTTCTGATGCTTCAATGGTTTCCCTGGTGAATATGCATGTTGCTTGTCCTGGCTAGTCTTATATGTCCAGCTACACTCATGGCAATATGCCCATAGACAGAAGTCACTTTCAAATGTCAGCATATGATGCTCTACACATGCATTAGAGGAACGGAAGGAAAGACCACTAATGAGCCTGGCTGAATGTTCTGTTAGTTTCTTGCCTATCGAGTCCATCACTTTGCTTTTCTCCTTGCATCTTGAATTATTATTTTTTTTACCATGTATTAAATTCTCGTCTGTTAGTGGAAGGTTATGGACTCAAAACTAGTTCTTAAAGATTACTGACGTGACTACTATGACAGCCCGAAACCGTTTCATAATGATCTAAAAATATTTTTTGCTTCTCATAATAAAGAAAGAGTAATTTTGATGTCTTTGGCCACATAGCAATTTTTTATTATTTTTCGTTTTAGGGGAAAAAGGGGAAAGGATCCAGGATCTGCAATAGAGCTCCTTAAATATTATGTTTAATAATTATTATTTCTTTATTTAATGTTTGTGTGTGAGAGTGACCAACATCAGACTGACCAAAGACCTTTAAAGAAGCCTTTTAAAGGCACAATAATGCTATAGTCTTATCACAAGTTTTATCTCAGAGAACAGAAACTACAATAAAAATTAAATATGCAATACTAATGGGATAGAGTTGAAGCATTTGAGTGTTATGATCTGGGGGTGGGTAAGGTTCTGACTGCAAATGCACTGGAGAGAGAGAGGAAGGGAAAAGAAAAGAAAAGAAAAAACAAACAAACAAAAAAACCATACAATACCTCAATCAGCTTGTTGGCATGTTCACGGAACACCTGAGCATATTCCTTAACTTCTTTCTCATTGCCATTCTTAGCAGCTTCAATGAGGACCAGGAGGGGAACATTAGTCTCCAGGAAAGAGTCAGAGACGTGGTCCATCACAGCTTTGCGCAGCTGTGAAATAAGATGATTTTTTGAAAAAGGAAGCGTTAGAATGCCCTTGGTGCATATCCTTTACATACAGACTGATGTCTACCACAGCTTTTTTGAACTACAGATTATATCCTGACATTATGAGAGACAAGAGTCTCCTGAGGTTTGCTGGTAAACTTCAAAAGGCTGAAGTAAAGAAAAAAATATTTGATTTGATTTTTTCCAATAAAAGTTCACTGAGCGCAAACACTACAGTTTAAAGTTGAAGACCTAGTGGAAAGAGGGAAAAAGAAGTTCACCAAAAAAAAAAAAAAAGTACCTGTCTGCGAAGGTCTCTAGTCTTCTTTGTCATTCTATCAATGGCGGTGTTCAGAGCATCGCTTCTGTCCTTTCTTCCCGCCTGAAACATGGAAAAAAGAAGTAATTAGTGAGTAGAATGACAGTGACCAGCTCATGTGTCATGTCTTGGGATCAGATCAAATTAAATCAATATCAAACCTAAAATATTAAACAGTCTATGGACTTGAGTAAATAAAAGGCAAAAATATTCATATCTGTAAATCATCCCTTGCATCTTTTCATTTTTAAACCAACAGGGTAGTTATACAATTTATACTTAAACTCCTCTAGAGCTGACTTGGGTCACCCTGTAGGTGTTACTCTGAAATGAAATGTAATTTTCAACAAGCTTGAGCTATTCTGCTTTGTGGAGCTAATGTTTGGAGATACCAAGTCCAGTTCATTTCTGAAGCCTCCAGTTATTGTACATTTTGTTCTCCAATAAACACTGACATCCTCCACCGACTCACAGCAAGTAATGCAAGTAATGCACCGACAGAATACCAGCCAACAATTTAAATTAATAATGTATACACACTGAAAGTAAACAGGGCAACAGCCACCATATTGGCTTTTATAAACAAACAAAAAAAAAAAGATTCTTTGCATTATATCAGTGTCATATTTCCTTTTAAGTGCTTCTGTTGGTTGCAAACTGCTTTTAAATCCAAAATTTTATTGAAGAGGGGGAAAAAAAAGCTACCCAAATCTTTTCAAAGCCTTTGTACCACCACAGCGCTCTTCATGGATATGCTATAAAGACCTGCGTACAACATTAAAAGTAGTCTGGTAACAGCCAACGTTTCTAAATCCAATGGGCTGTCAAACTTGAAAGTGTTTTAAATCATTTTATGTTTGTCACATTTGTGATTCTAATTCGATTCAGGGTTAATAATATTAAAAGTGCTCATTTTGTTTCATTATTCCCCCTCACTAATTTTTATTACAATGCTGCCCAAGTCCTTTGGTCATTTTGTATTAGAATAAGCCATTTATCTTCAAGCTTTAAAGGCCAACATTAGCTCCCAACTGTGGAAACTATTGAGAACAAAGTAAGGACTGGATTGGCTATCATAAGGTGACGTAAGTAGAGGTGACTTGTTGCTACACAAAAGCACTGACCAACTTTGGGAAAGTCATAAAGGCCCAAAATCATATCAGTCTTCTACATTTAAACCTATGCATCCGTTTCTGGTTTAAATAAGTTCTTGGTTGTATCCACACAAGCCACACAAATACTCAGGGGCTGCCTTGCAGTGAACACATTCATAACTACTGAGTAGTTGTAGTAGAGAGATGTTCGATCACATTCTGCAAAGTACAAAAGAAAAACACTGAAAACTTTTAGAAACGCTTGAGAAGATAAAGTGAGAAAGAGTGGGAAAAAAATTCCCAGATAGTGGAGAGCCATAAAATTAGAGCAAAATTAGATGGACAGGAAAGGTCTGAGTAAAGGCAAAGGACCAGTTGGACTCTGGGCTCTTCTTTCCCTTTATAATGCTTAAATCAACTGCAACGTAACACCATGGATGGTGGTAGCATTGACCTACCCCATCCCCCACTGCCCTATGCCCGTTGGGGGCTTGTGCACACAGTTAGGGGCCATGGAGCTCCACAGCACTAATCCCCTGTGATTTTGTGCTGGCTGGATACAGTGCTGTGGTAGGGCTTTAGCCTGCTTTGCCCCAACACTTTCAATCCTATTTCATTCATGCCTAGCCTATATTTCATTTCCACGCCAAGGGGTTCTAAAGCACTTCTTCAGGTGCTCATTATGGAAGCGGTTTCTCTGCAGAATCTTTTATGATAGCCAGGTGAGTATATCCATCTCCTTTATGACAGATTTAGGAACATCCCGTTCAACAAAAACCCACTAGTGTTTCAATGGAAACAAGAGTCTGCTCTAAGAGTCAAATAATATGCAGTCAATATTATTGCTTTTCAACAATTCAACATTATTGCTTTTCAAAGTTCATCTTAGTTGGATTAGTTATAAGTTATAAATTTATTGAACTTTAAGTACAAATTAAGTATAATTTAATGTTTTCCCCCCTTTTAAAATTTATTTTTGCAACACGCCAAATTGCCACTAAGCAGACGGCACACAGACAGATGGAACATTCCTCTAAGGTCTTAGTATTTTTACATGTTTTCTCCCATTTTTAAGGATGCAGGCTAAAATAGATGTGGAAAAATACAGCAGCATGCAGGACAAGTGACCTGCAAATTCACAGCCAGATAATGATGGGGCTTACTTTTTCTGTTTTCCAACTTGAATTGTGAAGAAACAGAAAATATGGAATTCACCATCACCGCCATCTACAATCAGTGTGCATTGTTACGTGCTTTCATTAAATAACAATGTTTAAAATAAGATAAGTTTAAGGAGACTGGGGCCGAAGAACCAACTTTGAAGAGGATACCATCTGTTCTTCATACCATTTCTGCTAAGTAGTCTGCCTGATTGCAATTTAATTTGATGCATATACCCCAAAATGCATCTCAACCAAACATTAAATAATGAAGAACTATAGGGACAAGGGATTAAGGAATTTCTCATCACCACGGTTCATTTCACACCTCGACTTTTCAGCTACCTCAGTTTTTCTTCCAAAAGGGATGAACAGCAAAATAACAATAAACAAATAATAATAATTTTAAAAAAGGGGGGGATTCAAGAAAAGAAAAACAAAAAACTGACTTGCATGCATTTTTTTTTCCGACAGTTAATTAAATGTATGTAAAAAAATAATAATAATAATCACAAAATAGCTTAAGGTCAAGTAGATGCATGTTAGCATTAGTAAATTTCAAATCCTTTTAATGCGTCACATGAATAACCCTGTATTTTTCCTTGACCTTTACATTTTAAAAGCTAGCCTAACTTAACTTCAAAGGAGCTGGCAATTGATCACATGCCTGTCCTCAAAAGTTAAAGAACTGCAACCAGGATATGTAAATTTGACACCCTATGTTAGCACTGATGTAGTAAAACCTGTTTTGCTGTGTTCTCTCTTTTTATTTTATTTATTTTTTTTAAGGTTTATGTCCCGTGTATACATTTCTACATACAGTCTGCAGAACAGTAGCAAGGCGAGACTGAGATTTACAGCTGTGGTTAATTTCAACAGCATGCTGCCGCAACACGTTCAAGATATCAATATTCTGAAGGTGACGAGCCAGTGGGAGGGAAGGGAGATGCAAGAGGGAGGTGGAGGAAGACTAAGAGGCAGAGAGCAAGTGACTGAGCAGGAGAGTGAGAGGGTGTTTGTGTGTGTGTGTGTGTGGGAGAGAAAAAGAGAGAGAGAGAAACAGTAGTGATGATCGACGCCAGGCTGCCACCACTCTGTAGCAGTGAGTGGCTGCAACAAAAAAGCACAGAATAACATCCCTGACTCCCTGCTCTGCTTTTTTCTCTCTCTCCCTGCGTCTCGGCTAGCAGACGAGGGCTCCGCTCACAGCTCTGCAGAGGCTATGCTGAGACTGAGCCGGCGTCAGAAGCAGGATCTCTGGCTGCCATCAACAAGTTAGGGTTGGAGGACCACGGCAATGAAAGAGAAGCGCTTGATCTTCAATTAACGGTCTGAGCTGACACCATTGCGGAGGAAAGGAAACAAAAGGGTAAAAAAAAGAAAAAGAAGAAAAAGGGAGAGGGGGGGGGTCTGATCACTGGAGTCGCTCTGGATGCAACTGATCAACTTAAAAAAAATAATTTTTTCAAGGATTCGTGGGCTGGAAGAAAAAGACTCAACCTCTTCTATTAGCCTGGATTTTAAAGGACTAACAAAATAAAAGGAATAAACATCTAGTCGGGACATGGAATTTCATATTTTGTTTGAATTGGGTGGGTTCAGAATTGCTTTATTTCCCAAGAGGCTGATTCCTTTTGTGCTTAATCAAAAGGGCTTTTTCCCTTTGGATTTTTCTTCCATCTGGTTGCTCCAAGAGTCTGCGGAAAAGGACAGTTGAATGCAGCCTCCGATGTGCACAAAAGAATGGGTAAGTTAGCCCCTTTATATGACAGGTCTGTACATGAATAGGGAATACAAGTAAGAGTGAGGGAGGCTGAAGACTAAAAGCTCTTCTGCCTAGTCTATTTACTGCAATGGTCCTGCATGTTTCCTCCTTCAGACAGAAGAGTTGGGAAGACATACATTTTTAACATTTGTATCATCTAGAAGATCTCATAATTGATATATAAAAAAAAAAGAAAAAAAAAAAGACTTAAAATATTTTTTTTAATTATTATTTTTTCCTGAACAGATTACAGATCTATGCTTTTTTTCTCCCCTAGGAAAAAAAGCAGCATAGGGCACTTGATAAAAAAATGAATGACAATATTAAGAAAGAAAATTATGCTTGAATGAATAGCACAAAATGTGGACCAAAACAGGCTTAATATAAACGGTAAGGGAGAGGAGAGGAGAGGTGAAAAAAAAAGTCTGCCTTATGTATGCAGCTGATCATTAGAAGCCTTGCTGAGAAAATGACATCTCCATTAAACCAAATCTCAAGGGTATCATGTTTACATACACTGTTAAAGTTGCCAATGTAAAATACCTTAGCAGCTATATGTAAGGACAAGACAGAGCATACACAAAAAAGCATAACTGCCAGCATGAATTAGTAATAAGTACTCTGCAGAGATTAGCTTTCCCGCCCCACAGTTCATTTTCTTGTCTTTGAACCCACCCAGGTTTCCATTCAAGGTGGCCATTGGTGGGACCTGCACCAGCGGCTCTGTCTGTGATCAGCATGCTCCTAGCGTGCCTGCTGTCTCCTGCGTTGTGCACAACCTGCCCTCAAAAATGCCGCTGTGAGGACCTGCAGTTTTACTGCGACACCCAGGGGCTTAAGGCACCCCCAGATGGTGTGGACAAGGGAGCCCTGGGGCTGTCATTACGACACAATAGTATCACTGAGCTCAGCCCTGATCAATTCTATGGTTTCAGCCAGCTCACTTGGCTACATCTAGACCACAACCAGATTACCACAGTACAAGAGGATGCCTTTCAAGGGCTCTATAAACTGAAGGACCTCAATTTGAGCTCCAATCGTATC